CGAGACAGCTCCTCCGTCATCGCCACCATCTGGCTGTTAGACTCCCCTGTGCACACCAAGGAACACACATGGTCACTGAGCAGACAAGCTCACTGTAAAGAAAGAACTTCATAACTAAGGAACTCGATTTAAAACTCAGCTTTGCTCCTCGTACTGCTTTTTCTAAAGCACAGCGTATGGCCATGAGAGAAAATATCTGGGCTATTACAATAAACAACAATGACTTCAAACACTTTTTTTGCATTCAACCAAAACTTACTGAGTTCTTTCACACAGTCGCTGACCAACTGCTGCTCTTTCTCCTCATATGTGATGGTCTCAGTCTTTAAGTGGCAAGCCTAGAACAGAACAACAATGACAACAATTTTGAGACCTTGACTTAGCTGGGCAAAAACTGTTAAGAAACATGACTATGGTTGGTTTAAACTCTGTTTCAACTGGCTCTGTCGTGTTCACATCATTGTCCTCACTTTTCTTCCTCAAGAATTTCTCTACTTGGCAATGCCGCACGTAATGATTAATTGCCCGTTCTGTTAAAGAACCCCTATCAAGGATACTGTCCTCACATTTTATTTCATTAAAAAGAAAATAAAGCTTTGTCTCGAGTAAAACAGTAATTGTAATTTTAGTTCAGTCCTGCATTATAATACCATTTATTAAATTGGTAAATTTACACTGCAACACAGTCACTGCATAAATATGTGCCCAAACGTCTTTCTACCAATGGAAAACTATAGTCCTTGAAAGCAAAAACCATGTATAGGGCTACTAATATGAAAGGTTCTTTGTGGAGAAACAAATAATAAGGAATCTAAATAAAAAATAATAAGTTAATAAGTCTTTTGAATCTGCTGTTGGTCTCCTTCCAGTCTTCCATCACACTCCATCTTCCATCAATTTTCTAACAGCTTCATCCAATTCAGAGTAGCAGGAGAGCTGGAGCCTATCCCAGCAAGCAAGGATATGGGATCAAGGAGGGATACACCCTGGACTGGACACCAGTACATCTCAGGGCAGACACGGACCCAAACACACACACATTCACACCAGCTTTTAGAGCTTTTTACAGAAGCCAATAAACCTACCAATATGTCACTGGACCTTGGGAGAAAACCCACGTGACCACAGGGAGAACGTGCAGACTCCACACAGATAGCACCCCAGGTCTGGAATTGTGACCCCAGGGCCCCAGCGCTACGAGGCAGCAATGCCTAACACTGCGCCACCGTGCCGCCCGTTTGTTGAAGACTTAACGTTTCTTTCTCAATTTTGTTCATTAAATATTACAGAGTAGTCACAGCAGAGACATTACGTTTTACACTTCATAAGAATAAACTTTTGAAAAAGAGATGAAAAATGAAATTAAGGATGAAAAAGTGAGAATGAAAGAGAAAAAAAACAGGTACAGTCAAAGCTGTATCAGAGTTTACCATAAAAAGGCATAAAGGTTATAGTGTAATTATATATAGTGGCTTAGGAGTATATACTGAGCTCCTCTTTCAAACCTAGTGCTCTCAAAGGCTTATCCCACAATTCTTTAAAATTGGAACACTTAACATTTCATTAGGCAACCAGCTCTGATTAGACAAGCTGTTTAAAAGGTTACAAATGAAACAAAGGCATTCCTCCCATCTCAGTACTTTTCCTACTTCTTTTTGCCTACACATACCCAGACCCTCTGGAGATGAAGCCGAGACAAACGAATACTTTTTAATGCGCATCGCCAAGTCTGAAGCAGATGGGAAACTGGTGGAAGGAAAGCAAGAGCGCGACAGAACAATCCGGAACGTGCGCAGGGGCTTGGATACCTGTGAGCGCAGGGCCAGGTTCTCCTCCTCCAGGTCGTGCAGTTTGCTCTGCAGCGCCTCCAGCTGGCTGAGCCCATGAGCCAGGCTGAAGGACTCGTTGTGGCGCAGCGGAGTGGAGCAGCTGGAGTCCGTCTCACTCTCCTCCGACGCGCTGGCTACGATGCGCAGTAGCTCGTCCTTTTTGGACAACTCGTGCTGCAGCTGGTGAACCTGCCCACCGACAGCACAGCATGCTGGGATACCAAGCCACTAAACATCACCTACCGGGTTCAAACTAGGCATCCGGTACATACGGAATTAAATGATATTTCCAGTTACGCATACAGCCCTTTTCAAAACTGAAAATTACTCCCCAATTAGTTTGTTCAAAGCCAATTCGAAAATTGCAAAAGTTAATTAATAAAAAAATAATACTACATATCTTAAAGTAGTAACAGGGCAGAGAATAGCATATGAAATGCCCCATTCAATGTACAAGAAACTCTAAGAATTTGGATGTTTTGAGATGTTTGAGATAAGAATACAAAATTGCAACTTTGGGAACAAACACATATCGGGAGTGAAACAATGCAGCTGTAGATTTAACTCAAGAGTACAGAGATATATAACTGAATAAATCACGTACAGTACTTCAGAACGTGGATCAGCTTCTTTTCATTTGAATTTTCAAATCTGCTGGTGGTATAAAGCGACCCAGAAACTGTTTAGGATTTCAATGTTCAAGGTCTGGGAAGGCGCAGTACTTGTTTAGACAGAATTAAGGACAGAAATTTCCAGATATCCAGATCTTGAGGACCAGACGCAGAGAATTATAAAGTAGTCTGCTACAGAACAAACATCGGTTTGTTTGCAAAGTGTTGAAAGACAAAATGCAGAAACCAATTCGCCAATGAAATTATATATTACATTTTGTTAGCATCATGTTCTAGTGGTAAGGACTCCAGATTTCTGACTATCTGCAGGGTACTTCACTAGTTATCGCTCTGCTCTAAAAATGGGTCTTGTAAATGAAACTTGTTTCTCAGTTGACTTACCTGGCAAAATAAAGAATTAAAGAATTCAAAGTATACTAACTAGACAAACCAAAAATTAAACTTTCATTGCTTCAATTACATAAAACCTGTCTTAACTTTGAAATAACCTGGAATCGCATGACTCTAGTCAGCTTGAGTTTGTGTACAGGTCAAAATATCAGGAAACATCACTGAATTTAGTGTAAGACTTCTGTGAGCAGCTAAAACAACTTGGATAAGAGGCGATATGAACTAAACAAGTCCTCCAAGGCTTGTAACCTAGTTATACCCCAATTTTGAGATTAGAACTGCTGTCAGTCAGTGTAGATTCTGATGAGTTTAAAGGTGTGTGAGGTTGAACTCACTGAAATATAGTGAACTGTCCAAAAAGCAGATGATGAATGCCTCTCTCTTCCACTTCAAACCAATCATGTTGCCTAATTTGACCAGAGGGTTCTTATTTAATATTTAATCTTTTAAGAAAAGTGTACATAATGCCATTTCATCACTAGACATTTAGGAGGGGATCTTTCCTTAGAGGCAGTGAAAAGAAAGAAACTGAAATAAAGAGTCGACATGGCAACAAGTACCACAATGCATTGCAACGACAGCGCCACAGTGGAGCCTGGGAGGCCCTGTTACTGCCCTCACCTGGTCGAAGGCCTGCGCCAGCTGCTCCTCCAGGGCCTCGTTGCGCTCCTGCAGGACGTGGTTGCGCTGGAGGAGAGACTGGCCTATCCTGGCCGCCAGCTCCAGGTCCCGATCTCTCTGAGGAGGGGCAAGGGACAGACCAACACGTCACCCTGGGGGCAGCACTCAGGACGGTATACAAAGCCAAAAACAGGCCACTACGATTCAGTGCTTTCTAGATTCTCTTTCAAGTTTCAGTTTTCCCCATGACACAGTGTACTGTATATAGATGTGCCGGACACTTTGGCTGCTGGTGGACATTGTCAGAAAAAAAAATGTTAGTCTGTTAGTTTAAACAAAATCTCTGAGGCTGAATCCTTAATGAACAGGGCCCTGGGTTCAATTCTGGACCTGGGGTGGTGTCTGTGTGGAGTCTGCATGTTCCCCTTGTGTTTGAGTGGGCTTCTCCCGGGCGCTCCCATATTTGAAAGACATACAGGTAGGTTCATTGGCTTCTTGGAAAATTGGTCTTAGGGTGACTGTGTGCATATCTGGGTCTGGGTCTGCGTCTGCTCTGGGATGGACTGGAGTCTTGTGCAGGGTGTATCCTTGTGTGTGTCCACTGCTTGCCGGCACAGGCTGCGACCCTGTATTAGATAACGTGGCTGGGAAAAGGATGTATGATCTAGCTAGAAATGTGTCCCTGTGAGTCATATGAGGTACAGAGTATCGTCAGAGACAGGAAGAAGATAAAGATGCTCACCTCAGCCAGGAGATGTGTAACCATGTCGATGTCATTGTAGGTTTTTGTCATCTGTTCCACCCTGTCTGAGCTGAGAACTAAGCAAAGAGAAGGCGCACAGTCAGGAAAGGTATAAAGAGGGTCTCGTGTAAGTCTTAAGGTATCTTATATTAGACGTGTAGCTAAGTTTTTTCATTCAACAACTTCTATATCTGTTGTTTTCTTTACTAACCCTCTAACATAAGATACTAATATTCCAAATCTAGAATAATATTCTTTCAAAACATCCATGGACGCATGGGAAATGTCTGTGAAATAGATATGCTTTTGTTGACATCAAAAATATATTTGTTATTTACATTTGGGCAACCTTCACAGTGCCACTTCTGTATAAAACCGCTGTCTCTCTTTTATACTGTCTTGAATATAAAATACAAATTCATTTGTATTATATAGGCTACTTGTTTAAAATAAGCGTTTAGTTTGGGTGTAAGTTAATTAGTACTGTAACTCCATTATCAAAAACTTGACAAAGTTGGCATTACTGAGCTCTGGAACTGAAGTACTGTACATGGACTAAAATTTTTTTTATGGTATCATCAAATTCAATTCTATTCAAAATAATTTATTCATCAATTTAAGCAGCAAGAAATGCAACATACAACTGAACAACATATAACATACAATTCTGGTTCTCTTCTTAGGGATTGAGAAATAGGTAGTGCCACCATTTAGTGTTCCCCAATTATATACTAATGTACGTTTAAGGACGCCAGCTGTGATACTATTAAGGAAAGCCCATTTTCACAGACAGAGCCCGAGGTTACCTTGGCAGGCACTTTGGGACCCAGGGTGGGCAAAGGAGGTGGGTTCCAACGCAAGATAAGCTGAATAGATAAAGCAGGAAAATTACGTGTTAAAGGCAGACATGGGCTGATGCATTTGCAAACACGGTTCATAGAGTTTAAGATTTATTTCCACCTACACCTCAAACCAAGTCCTACCCCC